ATCTTATAAATAAGTACGTAGTCGTTTAGATCTTCACATGAATTTCGCAGTTGAAGAGGCAGTTAATCACGAAATAATTTCAATATGATTTGAAATTTATTTCGCTCACGCACTATGACAACGATAGTGTCCCGCCGCGGACCACGGAACAGCGTGATTCCGTCGTCGCGATGAAACAATCGCACTTGATTACGAGTGACAATTTACTTAAATTCACTTGAATTGGACGGGGAAATTTTCTACGCTTCGAATACTGAATACTAAATAGTAGAGCGAAAGGAGGAATCAAAATGAAAAAGGATTAACCGACTTCCTAATAATTGAAATATTAATTTTAAAAAAGCCACTAGTGAGTAAATCTAGTAGTACTTACACAGCCTTAGTAGTGACTAAGAAAGACTTCTCATTGAATACAATCTATCAAGTTGTTAATGTTACAGAAGGTTCAAGGAAAATAATATCCTTAAATAAATTTTAAAGTTTTTTATAGTGCTAATCTCTGCACTTAAGATTGAACATTAAAACATGTAGAAAAAGTACGAAAAGATTGTCGCCGCTGTGGGAATCGAACCCACGTCTTCGGCATTCGCGGCCTGACGCTCTAGCCACTGAGCTAAACGGCTGATAGCCACAGCGACGAACATCTTAACGCAATCTTTCTACATTGTTATTTAGCATTTGAAGCAATGCTTGGCGCATCTATATCGGAGAGAATACAAAATCTTCATGGATATGTCATCGGTTTCATAAACTTACTAAATAAAATAGAGGCATAAGGATTAAGGTACTTAAATGATATCCTACCAACTCAAAATCAGATGGGTTTGTGTTGGCATACGAGTATATGCCGCGCTCTCAGAACCGGTCCTACTAGTATGCTAGTACAGAACTTAATTAACCGACTACAATAAGTACTAGACCAGAGCAGCACGCCACCCGTTATTAAAATTTATATTGCGTTCACCACTTGACTGGGTGTAAATGGAAAATAGGTTTTTTTTATATCCAATCCCAAACATTTTTTTTAATAAGTACATTTTTATTAAAGTGAAGTAACAGCCTATATGTCCCACTGCTTAGCAAAGGCCTTCTTTTGTACGGAGGGTATTGGGGCATAGTCCACTCGGCCCCACTGCTGATTGGCGGACTTCATATCGACGGCAAAATAAATCTTGTCTGTTGTATGGGAGCCCCATTTAATTCTGTTTTTTAGTATTTCTTGTCAAGAAAATTTTAACTGTCTATCTATCACGTTTCATGAGATACAGCCTTGTGACAGACGGACAGACAGACAGCAGAGTCTCAGTAGTAGAGTCCCGTTTTACCATTTGGGTACAGAACCCTAAAAATTGTGCATTTGCATTGAAGTATCTGTGCGGACTACTAGCACATACAATAATTAACAAATAGGCGGAAAAACTTTCCATATTTAATGTTATCCCGTTCGCGTATCTGAATTTTTTTGGAAGCTTTTCTTGGTCTATGATTTATATTTCGTTTCAACTTTTAGTTTCATAAGATTTATTCTAGCACACAGCCGTAATAACTCTTATGCGTCTGTAAAAATATGTACTGAGGTAGAACGATGTAAAAAGTTACCGTAGGCGACATATTTGAGTGGATGGCACGTAGATGCATTTTAACGGTAATAGGGCCACGCAGCAGCCTCGGCTGTTGCACGAATGGGCAGGCTCGTCCGGTTCGGTACCACGACCTCACAGAAGACCGGCGTAAAGTGGAAGTATATTACTTTCGCGTCTCGTCTGGTGAACGAGGTGGTCGGAGCCCAATTTTTAAAAGTTTGTCAACGGGCGGCGGTATTCACTTAACATCAGGTGAACCGTCTGCTCGCTTGGCAACATTTCACATAAAAAAGATGGCATGGTGGACATCACTGTCAAACAATTTGAGTGACCCGAGTGATAGTTATAAACTATAACTGATGTAAGTGATCATTACCACCATATTTACAATGCGACGAAAATTACAAGAGCTTTGCCAACCATACGTAGAACATACTCGCTAAATATAAACTATCAAACAGCAAACGTGTTGAAAATAATAGAACTGCAAATAGAAAATGTGGTCCGATAACGAACCTTTGTCGAAGAACGTAATCGAAATGAAAAACCCATCGAGTGGAAAGATTTTGCGCGCATATCAAAACAAATGGGGGCACCGTCGAGGGTCCTCACCGGTTACCGGACGGCAGCGTTAATTAACTGGATGCATCGGGTCTATATGCGCCGGCCGATGCCCATATACAGCGTGTCGTTACCATCGCGACAATAAATGAACACACGTCTAACGCCATTAGGCAATAATCATAAAAAAATATTATCGTTAAACAAAATCTATAATTAAAAAAAAAATTTTTCAAACAAACTAATTAAGTAAAAAAGAAACAAAATTTGTAACATCCTATACAACTCGCGCCACAGCGTCGCATTACAAGCCTCTCATTCTAACAGTATGTTTTGTCTCTTTTAAATTCATTCAAGCCATTCATATGCTGTGTGACCTTTACAAATGAACTTTACGTTACAGTTTTATACGTAAGGGTGTTGTAAAATTCTTTGTTTTGGAAAATTTAATAACTCTGTAAATATTGATATTTAAAGAATGTAAATTTTTGATACAATTTTAAAAAGTTATCCTCTATATGTGTGTTCATTTATTGTCGCGTTGGTAAAGACACGCTGTATACCCAGACTAGTGAACCGCCCCGGCTTCGCACTGGTGCACTGTATTATACATATAAACGCTCCCCTTGAATCACTCTATCTAGTAAAAAAACCGCATCAAAATCCGTTGCGTTGTTTTAAAGATCTAAGCATACATAGGGACAAGCAGACAGCGGGACGACTTTGTTTTATACTATGTAGTGATGACGTATACACAGATATACAGGAGACTCACACGATCTATTCAAATCAAACCTCCTATAACCCGACCACTGCACAAATTCTGATTTTTGACTTCATACACGTGATTGTTTAGTCTTGTATTTTCAATGTTCTGGACAAAGGTTCTCGGTGCAGATATAATTAGAGCATAGGATCATTCCTGATTTTCGACTTCATACACGTTATTGTTTGGTCTTGTATATTTAAGTCCTGGGCAAAGATTCTCCGTACGCATATAATTAGGGCATGGAATCATTTGTTGGATAAACCTTTAATAATATAGGGACTGAAAGAAAACACATCAATTATTGTAGCTGTGGTAGGGCTACGCAATTGCCTACGCTGTAGCATGAATGGGCAGATCCGTCCGGGAATGCACCGCGACCTCACAGAAGACCGACGCGAAGTGTTATATTTCTGCGTTATACCTGCATTTGCAACTTTACGGCTGTTGCAAATGTCAATGGTGGCGGTTATCACTTAACATCGGATAAACCACCAGCTCGGTTGACACCGTCTCATATAAAAATGAGAAAACTAATAGCAAAGACTTCAGATAAACTAAAGAAAAGTAACTATCCACTACGGTTCGACAGTGTTCTCGTGCCTTCGAAATATTGTTTTATTGATTTTAGGATAAGTAAGTTCCGTTTCGATGTTTTCGAAATATTCGTACATTTACCAATTTATATATTTCATTATATAAATAAATATAAACAGAGCTCTGACCACCTTTTAAAAATCATGCAATTATGATATTGCTTTGATACATCGGGGACGCTTTTACAAATTACACGACATTCGCATTTCGCGTACAAAAGTAATTTGTATGTGGTTGTATAATAATATAGAAATACGTAATACTTTTAATTATGGTTGTTAAAAATATTCAATTGCAACATTTCGGACAACTTGGCAAGAGTATTTTAATAAAAGATCAAAGGAGAAAAGCATTTTTTATCGGACCACCCAAACACAAACCTTTCATAGCCCATCGATAGATAAAGATACATTTGGATGTCTGTTGCAAACTGACCTAAGGCTGTGTTCAGCCAGCTTCCTTCACATAACTTTAAGTATTTAATGAAAAGGCACCATCTCTTAACTGTGATGTATGCGGTATTGTTGAGTAAATGATTAAGTTCAATAAGTTTTGATAGATTGTGTCAAAACCGGAAACTTCAGTGTTGTGTTTAGGTCGTGATGCCTCTAAAAATATCACACACCTAGACGTTATCTTCGCCCATCATATGACGTCATATGCTGCCGAGATGACGATTAACTTCATTTTAAGATATTATCAACTCTAAACGTTGAACGCTTGTAGCTTTTACAAGGTCTAACAACAAATAATATAAATGTGGGTTCAGATCATTATTATTGAAAAATATTTGTGATGAACGCAGTTTTTTTCCAGTGTCTTGGTTTTTATATATTTTTAACAGTTATTTAGTACCCATAGTACAAGCGTTGCTTAGTTTGGGACTAGAAAACATTGTGTTAAGATCTGTCCTGAAATGTTTATTTATTTATTTATTATTAATCATTATTTATTTATTATAGCAAGCAGCCGGTTCAGTTTAATTTCATTAATTCGGTAACGCGTCTGCATACAAAAGACTAATAGCGTTTTCCCCATTACCATATCATTACGTATTTCCCGTCCATGGCGTAAAATACATTACAATTTAATGTACCTGCGTTATATGTTAATTTCGATGCGAGGAATTTTCTAAAGCCTAATGTTTTGTTGTTTGAATACAGCGTTAGTGTTACATAATACATATACAACTGTTTAACTGTGGTAACCCTCACAGACCTCACAGAAGCCCGGCGTAAAGTGGAAGTATAATACTTTCGATTTTCGTCTGGTGAGTGAGATAGCCGGAGCCCAATTTTCAAAAGGTCGTCAACGCATCTGTAACCCTCGGGTGTAGCAGATGTCCATGGGCGGCGGTATTAACTTAACATCAGGTGAACCCTCTGCTAGCTTAGCAACTTTTCACATTAAAAAAAAAACGTATAACCGTGAGCTGTACGCGTGTTGAGTTGCTTAGCTGTGTGCGTTTTGACCTTAATGGGAACTGTGTGCAGGTTCGACTGTGGCAGCGGGGCGGGCGTGCTGCGCTCCCCGGAGCCCGTCCGCCTGGGCAGGTGGAACACCATATCCGTGTACCGCCACCGCTGGGACGCGTGGCTCCGTCTCAACGCCGGCAAGAGGGTTCGGGGTCGATCCAAGGTACGTCACTCTCGACCTTCAAAAAAGGAGGTGGCTCCCAATTAGACTATATTATGATATTTATTTTATGTTTTGAAACGAATTCAAAAATTGTTTTTGGATCAGATTCGGTTAATATCCCATGTGGTCCCATACTGATCTCATTGGTACTGGTCCCTTGACTCCCGAGATACAAAGGTAACTCTTCAAAATAAAATTGAAAACATAAAGTGAGTGAGGCTGTAGTCAAGCGGAAGTAGTTCTTTATTAAGAAATCCCGATATTTACATGGTGGCAAATTGAAGAAGTGTGCATTCACATTTCCTTATCACATGCTAATAATTAAACGTACGAGTATTTTACGACTTATCTTCCGAAAGGAAGGATGAACAAGATTTCTATAATTAAGATCAACTTTATTAGTTAATAAGGAATAGCAGCTGGGAGCCATGTCAGTCGCACATGCAAATATCCGAATAATATACTTGCAAAATCGAGCTTATATTGCAAGCAGTGTCCAAAGAACACACCCGCAAAACGCAACCCGACAGTTTTGAATAATTGCCATAATTTATTTATTCCCGGCAAAGAGCAAAACTCTTGCTACTGACACAATTTCCCCGGTTACCGGGAAATTCTCCGCCTTTGTAGTATTTTTAGCCTTGAGGGGCCACGAATTAAACATCCCCTTTGTAATTAAAATTTAATTGGCCACCCCGTCTACGAATTGCGGTTCAAATGCTCGCGGAATAGGATGAATTACTATCACGATTTACACCCTTCATTCTTTGATTTCATTTGATTTGAGTGAATTCATTGATCGTATGTCGATTTAGAGTCATTTGATTTTTTTTTTTATGTAGTCTTTAAATATTAAATGAAAAGTGAATACCAACCTATTCGTAGTAAGTTTTCGGCTTCCTCACGATTTTGGCTTTTTTTTTAATGTGATAAGTTGTCAAACGCGCAGACGGTTCACCTGATGTTAAGTGAATACCGCCGCCCATGGACATCTGCCGCACCCGAGGGTGCGTTGTCATCTGCGTTGACAACCTTTTGAAAATTGGGCTCCGGCTACCTCACCAGACGAAACGCGAAAGTATTTGTCAAAAGCTTTATAAAATCAATAGTATCATGGCTTTTAAATATTTCAAACTTATCCAGATTATGTGCATTCCAGAATGGTTTACATTCACAATTCGGTCAACAAACAAAATTTACTTTTTTAATTATTGTTTTCATTTATTAATTTTACTTTTAAAAGGGCCTATCAACAACTGTTTACACTATATCTTAATAATAAAAAAGAAAAGAAACAATAAGTACTTGTCTAAGTGTAACAATAACTTAAAGATAAGCACAGCAAGTACAGTTGAACATCATAACAATAAATATAAAATTAAAACTATAAATAATGAAATAGTAAAAATAAATAAAAATGTGCCTTAAAATAACAGCTGTACAATAGAAATTTAAATTGTTTATAGTGCTAATCTTTGCACTTAAGATTGAACATTAAAATATGTAGAAAATTCGAAATTGTTTGTATGCTGGAAAGGATATAACAATAGATGGCGCCAAGCATTGCTTCAAATGCTAAGAAAACAATGTAGAGGAATGCGTTAAGATTTTCGTCGGTGTGGTCATCAGCCGTTTAGCTCAGTGGCTAGAGCGTCAGGCCGCGAATGCCGAAGACGTGGGTTCGATTCCCACAGCGGCGACAATCTTTTCGCACTTTTTCTACATATTTTAAAGCTGTACAATAAATTAAATTAAATTAGGGTTTGCTCGGTATGTTTATTACATAAGGTAAATATATATATTCAAATTTTAGAAAGTGAGGTATACATTATTTTAGAGTCTTTGGCTATTGAGTCAACATGAAAATCTAATTGATCGCTGAAAAGATTAATTATTTTGCAAAATTTAATATAAGGGGAATTACTTCCCAGCACTGTTCTTCTTAGTGGTGGACAAAGTGGTGTAATAGGTTTGCGAGGTATTCTTGTAGGTACTCGAAATTTAAGCAAATTCAACAGTTGTGGGCTATCAATTTTGTTATTTAAAAGTTTATTCACAAACTTAGCATCAAGCACTTCTCTTCTATGAGATAAAGAGTTTACCTTGAAATAATTCTTTCTTCATAAGATCGTAGTTTTCTTGACTTGCCATCAGAAAACGCCAATTGCCACATAAACCGTTTTTGAACTCTTTCTATACGTAATGAGTGCGTAGCGTAATGAGGCCGCCAGACTACACTACAGTATTCAAGGATACTTCGGACTAGGCTATTGCAAAGCAATAATTTAGTTTTGGAATTGCGAAGGGAATGACAATTCCTTAAGATAAATCCTAACATTTTTGATTATTTTTTTGTTATATTTTCTAAATGTGCATTAAACGGTAACTTACTATCATAAATTATTCAAAGATCACGTACAGTATCTACTTCTTGGATTGCTGTATTGTTTATGCGGTATATACTATTTATAAGTTTGCGGTTGCGAGAAAACTTGATATGTAGACATTTTTCTGTATTAAGGTGCATTTTATTGTTGGAGCACCAATAGACAAGCCTATTCAAGTCATTTTGTAGGAGTACTGCATCGTTCCGTGATTTGATTACTTTAATAAATTTTAAGTTATCGGCAAACATATATACTTTCGAATGATGAAAGCAGTTCGGGATATCATTTATGAAAAAGTTGAAAAGAATGGATCCTAGATGTGAGCCCTGAGGCACACCTGAGGCAATGGCTCGAGATTTGGATTTGAATCCATTTGCAACGACAAAAAATGACCTGTATGATAGATATGACTCAACCCATTTTAATAAAGAACCTAAGATACCATAGGTACGCAATTTACTAATAAGAATATTGTGAGAAACCTTATCAAACGCTTTGCTAAAGTCCGTGTAAATGACATCAGCTTGATATCCAGAGTCAATGGTTTCGGCTAATGTCTCGGTAAAATGTACTAGATTTGTACTCGTAGAACGTGATTTAACGAACCCATGTTGGAAATCACTTAAGAAAAATTTCAAGTGCTCCTGCAAGTAGGATTAGGACAAATGAGAGATTCGAAAATTTTTGAAAAGCAGGATAAAATTGATATTGGTCTGTAATTGCCTACGAAATCTTCACTATTTGATTTGTGAATTGGTACCACTTTAGCAATTTTCCATTCTGAAGGAAATGTACCACTGACAAGTGATTTGTTAAAAATATATGTGAGTGGAAGGACAATTTCAGAAGCAGTTTTGACAATGAAGATGGGTGGAATTTCATCGGGTCCAGCTCCTTTATTACAGTCTAAATTTTGTAGTATCTTAAGCAATACGTTACGGTCTATGGTAGGGACTTTAAGGGTCAAACTAGTATAATCTGGGTCACGTAGATATTTTAATTCGTTCTTTCCATCTAGGTTGCTGTCTGGTCTATAAACTGATGAAAAGTGTGAAGCAAACATTTCGCAAACTTCCGTTGCGTCTGATGTTGAAGTTGAGCCATCAGTCAACGTTGCAGGATACGAACTGGAACCACATCTTTTTGCTTTAATAAATGACCAGAATAATTTGGGATTAATCGTCGGACTTAACACGTGTTTACAGGGACCGTCTGTTAGATCCCCTAGTTTTATTATATTTAATTATAAGTATTTAATGAGAAAAATACTAAATATGTTTTTATTCCACACATTCGTATGCCTCAAAATGGCGCAACACTCTGAAGCTCAACGTAATTGAAAATAATATAATCACACACTCAACACGAAACGTATCGAAGTTTCGGAGTGTTAGAATTGTGATAAATATCGGTAAACTTGTATCCCTTGATACGGGGCCTTAGGAGGTTTTCGACCCTCCCCAGTGCGACCAACCCTATTGGCCTGCATATAAGATGTTTCCGCCCGCTATCAAAGAGTAAGTTTTGATCAATTTGCTTTAACATTTCCCGCCCAACTTTATAGTATAAGTAAACTCTTATTTCAATGCCTTTTGCATACGTTTTCATCGCTCGAGCCGAACTGATACAGATTTTTTGGATGTTTCTTGTTCAATTTGTTTAGTTTTTGAAAACTTAAACGTAAAAAAAAACATTTTCTCATACGAAAACGAAGTGTTAATAACAATAAACAAAAAATACTTTAAATATGCAATATTTATTTTGTTAAAAGCTTTACTTACGAGAGCACATCGATATCTCTGAATAGCAAAAAACTTAATTCTATTTAAGTACATGGAGTTTTGCAAGAGCCAAAAAAAAATCAATTTGGTGAAAGTTGTGTACTTTTATTTCTTGAAAACAACGTATCGTTTCTTTTTTGTGGTTTGTAAAAAACATCGCCCTTACTGTAGGATAACATTATCCTGTGTTGTAAGTACGTTTTACTAAAATAAATTTCGCAAGGACAAACACCCAGATGCGAAACAACAATCTAGGTCATACAAATAGTTGACCCGTGTTGGAATCGAACCCGCGACGCCGAAGCCGATAACCTTGACGACTGCGCCACGGAGTCATTATCCATCATATTTCTTTAAAGTAACGTAACGTAAAAGTAAACTTACAAACATAATGATATATTTATACAAATACATGTTGGCGCTGGCAACACTGTATACCGGATATGACGTTATCTACTCGAGCCAAGGGACACATGGTCGTATGGAGCATAGGTCACTTGGATTTCGGCCGCGTTCCCGGACGGTTATATAACCACTAGTGATGCTTGTCGTTATAATAGTTGTTAATATTCACGTTCAGTAATAGTTAAAATATTAGGATTAAGGTAAAATCGTTAGAACTCTTATATATATTACCTATGTATAGATGATGTGGATTCGTAATATTAGTTTGCGGGCTCTTATCATTATGGTTGTTATACTATTACCGACCATTGACTTGAAAAGCAGGCAAATCTCCTGATGTTAAGTGATGACCACCAATCATGGACTTATACGTCTAAGGTGTTCCAGATGTGTTACCAACTTATAAATTGGACCCTGTTTACCTAAC